GCTGTAAAACTGTCTTAACCTTTATAGAGACAGGATTTACTTATTTTTAGCTAGTGATCTGAGTGTTGTGCACATCCTCCCTTCGTTCAACATGTCTGCCCTGATTATATATGCTCTGACCAGTTATTATTGCCAGGGACTGAAATTGAAACCAGGTTCCAGTTGCCAAATTGTTCCACATAGTCCAAGCCCTTGGAACTGTACGCCTCCAAGATCAATCAGTTCCAATAGAAATGCTGCCATGTTTTTCTAACACAACAGTACTGCAAAACAATTGCACTGAACTCAAAGAAGTTGAGCCTATGCATACATTTGTGCCTTTTTTCCTATCATCAGAGCTAATAAACCTAAAAAAGGCCTGTAATGGCCTGCTTTTTTCCCAGGCAACAGACAACTGATCAGGAATCAATAGGAGAATCAATAAAGCATCTGACCTATAAGCAGAATCAATATTGGCTTGAGTGTCAGCATTTGTCCTTAATCACCACCTGTCACGGTGGGTGGGATTTGTAATTTGGTGATGAAAGAAAGAACTAATATTGTCAAATGGGTAATCAGTCAATGGGTAATCAATGCTGGTATGTACCAGTTGTGGATACTGGGATGGGATAAAGTTAGATAGAATCCAACTTTCTATTTCAGCTTCAAAAAGCAACACACAAAAATAAAAAATATACATTTGTGAAAGCACCATCATCACTGTCATCATTCCACCCAGTCCTCCTCAGTTAAAATGAGACCTTCATCATTACCCACCAACATTAAAATGACTTTCTCATCCTGAGCTTTCAGATATTTAATGGCACAAAAGATTGAAGAATTTGCCCACTATAAGGATCTGGATTGGTTCACACCTGTCTGCTTTGTGGTTTACAACAAGATAGCTGTTCTTATCATATCTCTTTTTGCATTGGTGTATTGTTGGCAGTGGTGGAAATAAATAAGCAGGAATCTGATTTACAGGAAGCTGCACTACTGTGATGAAGAGCCTGCATTTATCAGGTGCATCATTTGTCGATGTTAAAAGGTTTCACAGCAGGATTTCGTGAAAATGTAGGCCTATCCCGTCACAAAAAATATACATGTCAAGATGTACCATTACTGGTGTGGTTGCTTGGACCATATACACAAAATGTATATGGTTGCTGTAACCTTACCCAGTTACCCTGCATTTAGGCCTATGTTCGTGATTAATATTTTAATCTACAAAATTCCAAAACAGTTCTTTGACATTTGTGGAAATCTAAGGCACTATCTTCAAATAGTATTTATTTTGGTCCTTATAAAGCATATTTGTTTAGCTGCAATCTGCAAATGGTGTTTTTGCCTTAAAAAGGTTTTTTTTTGCTTTTTGTTTTTAAACCAATCATGGAGTTCCAGCTTTATTAACAATGTGACTAAATTATGGCCTTCAAAATTTAGATATTTTAAATTTCATCACTTATTTTCCAGCTTTAGGGAATGTTACTCTTGAGCATTGGCCATGCTTGTTTTTTTAATATTTGATATTTTCTATTTATGATTTATTGACAACACAGGAGATGGCTTGCTGTGCGTCTTTTCAGTCTGAAAGCCCAGGAAGACTCCTACCTGTGAGCCCTACATTTACAATATGGCAGATCAATGGGAATTCATGAATAGAGATACGGTTCAGAGTATCACAGTTACCCAGAAGGAGCTTGGAAATAGCTTTTGAGACCATATGTCGTAGATTTCCTTTGGGTTTTGCCGTATTCACTTGCATTCACTTGCAAGACGGTCCATAGACGAAAAGTGTCAGTTTTAACCGCAGGTATACGCAATAAAATAGTTGGCATTCCCCCTTTATTAAGAAGCAATAAATGTATTAAATCGAATAAGATAAAAAATGAAAAAGAAGAAGAGTGAAATGAATCTGAATGGTTTCATGATCGATGCACGCACACGGACACGCGCGCATTCATTCGGACCTCAGTCTAAGCTTGAATTCTAGCATCCTGTGTAAATACTTTCATTTTTCAAAGTATTTCTCATGCACAAACTGATAAAACTGGGTATACGTGCACTTCGGGTTGACAGTTAACTGTGCGCAAAAATCACCTGAGAAACCAGCCTGCGCTTTCTCCACAGGGAACACCTCTGAAAGCCCAGTATAGGAAGAGCTAAAGACACGACAACGCATGCTTGTGTTAATTACACCAAATACAGCACTCACGTCTCTGAAGCGATTCCAGTGTTTGATCTTACGGCTGTACTGGGAGATGGTTGACAGCCATTGCTCATCTTCCATGAAATTCCCGGCTTTTCCTGCCTCTTTCCCACTTTTCACGTCCACCTGGAGCGAGACGCCCACCAGCAGACACAGGCAAGCAACGATTCTCACAGCCACCATGGTGCTCGGGCAGTGTGGTCTGGGATGTATCCTCTTGCTACTGCTGCTACTGCTGCTCCTGCCGCTGTCCTCCAGCCAATGAGCCACATACGAGACTGCTGCTGCTGCCTCAACAGACTGAATGGAAATGAGAGAGAGAGAGAGAGGGAGGGAGAGAGGGAGGGAGAAGGAGAGTTAAAGGGGAGATTAGATCCTGCGCTAATCATTTATTTGTGCTCACTTTGAATCATTATTTCAGCGTCTTCTTGTTGTTGTTTGATTTACTTTTTCAGCCCACACACAAACACACACTCAGAAATCCTAACAGTCACACTGTAAATGAATCATACAAGTAGAATAAATGTTTTCTGGAAGAATGCCAGTTAGCCTACGCCTACATCTGGGTTCAGACAGTGAAAAGGAAATGAGAGGAAAATTGCTGCAATTTAGTTGATATCATAGGGAAGTAGTGCCCACAACATGGTTCCCCGGACTACCAGTGGTCACTGAAGAGTCCCAAAAGGCCTCATATCAACTGAGGTTTCATTTATGTTAAAATTAGCACCGGGAGAGGATGCCAATGTCAGAATCATATATTATCTCACTCTAAAATCTGACATCAGATATAAATGGACTCAAAACAATGCTTATTGTATTATATTGGATGTGTCATTACAGAAAATTTCATGATTCGCCACTTGTTCCCTTTTCCCAAAACCTGAATGTGATGTTTTCAAGTTTATTAAATGTTGACTTGTGAAGGTGCTAGTAAGCAGTGCCAGGTATCCCTCTTTTCAGTTAACTGACAGCATGAAGACTGGTGCCATTGTTTTTATCTAACTCTCTGACAAGAAAAAATGAAGGAAGCGATCATCACAGCGTAACACACAGTCAGTTAAACATCAGGGATCTCAGCCTGTCCACCTAGAAAGCTTAAACCTCTGTGAATCCATTTCATCTGCTTTGATGCAAATGAAAGTGACAAGAAGTGTAGTGAACAGGCCTTTGAGTGAAACAGTTTGTCTTGGCTACGCTTTGTTTAAAACTTTCCTCTAACTGGCTGCCCATTGCAGACAGAAGGTTAAAACAGCAAATGGGTGGTGCTTCTGTGCAGAGATGACCATATAAGATACAACCACAATCTCAGACTAAGATGACTCAGATACATGGGCAATGAGCATAAACCAGTTTGCAGACGAGCCTGGGCCTTTGCTAGCTATGGCAGGTTGGTAATACAGTGCACTGGAAATTCAACATTTCTTTGAACTGTATTGAGTAAACGCTCAACTGTTATTGAGTAATGTAACAATTTGTGCTGCCAAAGTGATTTTATGAAGTTATGAGTTAGCGTACTTATATACTTATACCTTCAGCAACACATGGGAAACACTAGCTGCCTCATTATTGTGTTGTGCATATATAGATTTCCTAGTAGCTTAATCTCTAATTATAAATCAACCTTTCTGATGTTAAAATGCTGAGACTTTAATTGGTTTGACTGCCTGCACCAAATGATGTTGTAAAGATGGACTGTGGAATGAAACAAGTTTAAATGTGTTGCGTTGCGGCTTTTATCCCCCATTCTTTATGACCTCGAGTTCTGCTGTAGCTGCACATCATCTTAAGTCTATCCACGTTATTCCTGCTGCTGCCTAAACTCTGCATGCCCTCTCCTCCTTCGCTCCCTCTGCTGTGCATCCCATCCCCATGAAGATAAACCTAATCCAGCCCTCTGCTCAGATTCATTTATGTTTAAGATTACCAATATTGTCCGTGGCTGAGTAGCCAGGGGGCAGGATCACATTTCTGGGATGCTGCTTAGCAGGCCAAACCAACTCTGACATTGCCATCAAAATAGTTGATGTGGCAGTCGCAGGCTTTCCTGACTGTGCAGAGCTCGCGAACTGCGATGCAAGGGCAACAGGAGAAATGTCCCACAGTGCCAGCCTGCTGCGCACATCAGGAATACAAGGTGGTGGACATGATGTATTAATCAAGAGGTCGTCATTACTCTCGTCTGGATGAATGTGCTGCAGATTAATGGTTACACAGCTGATCTGGGTCACCTAGAATTATTTAAAGACTCTATTCTGCTTTGCACCATTAGGTTTTAAATATTTGTTTTTAATTTAAGAGGTTATTTGGAAGCATCTCTTTGGATCCTTGCAAAGGAAGTCTCCTATGGGAATCTTCAATGTGAATGAAAGGGAAAAAAACGAATAGAAAACATGCTGATGAGATGTTCATTGCTTCAGATAACAGGCTTTAGGGAAAAGACTCCAAAGAGCCTTATTTTATTTATTTTAATTGCAGACAGTTCTTAAGAGTGCTGCTCTTCTATATACGAGTAGCAACACGGGGACCGAGTGTTTTTACTTCTCTGATAATCAAATACTTAGAAACATGTCTTACTCAGATGTGAAGAAACACCTCGGATTATCATGTTAGTTAACTCAAGGTGTCAAGAAATATTTATTGCTATTGGATGTTTTATAGTAAATTTTGATGACAACAGGCACTTTAAAATAAATATACCAACCAAGAAGACAATGCTGTATGTATATAAACCCTTTTATGTTATTCAAAGCCATCAACACATGGCCGAATCACATCTATTACAGCCTTTCACAGAACAGAGCTCACAGTAAAGTAGACTACAATGCTCTTTAATGTGCCTAACATGACAATATTCACGTTCATTTAACCAAAACTTGTATAATCACACATATCAAAAAGCACAATGTGAAGCCTCTTGCATCTTAAACATAAAAGCAGCTTCATGCAACTTGTTTAACATCTTCTTCTACACATCAAGAGTCACGCTGTGGAAGAGTGCCTTTAATTGTAAAGGGATTAGCTGATGGCATCGGTTCCTCCTGCTCCTCTCTAGGCAGATAAGCCATATCAATCCTCCACCGAGCGTAATCAGTCTACACAAAAGGAGCAGAGGGACGGGAAGCTTCATTTGAATATCAGGCAAGACTCCATGCAGCAAAAAACTTGAAGGCTTCCTTATCTGTTAATATTTCCCATCCACAAATGTAAACAACGTTTCACAAACAGCTTGCGAAGCTCAACAGGAGCTTTGGACCTTATCAGAGATGTACATTGGTTATAAGTGATGTAACTGCTCCGTAAAGATCACTTCAGGAATTTCTGCTACACAACAATTAATTTCAGAAGGCAATGGTTGGATGCAAAAGACATTTGTTTATTCCTGACAAATCAAAACAGAATATACAGCGTGAGAAAACAACCAAAATCCCAATTTTCCAGATGAGTTCAACATAAGATTCAGGAAAGATGCTGTAACGTCGTGTCCGTGTCCAGCTGTCAGGAAAGAACTTCTTCATCAGCGAGCATTTCTTAACATTTCCAATCCTGCTGTCGTGTTCATCAAAGACCTGCAACACATAATCAGAGATAAATTTTGTACTTTAAAGCAGCGGTCCCCAACCCCCGGGCCTCGGACCGGTACCGGTCCGTGAGTCGTTTG